GTATGATAATATTGGCAGAGGTTGTGCATAGCGTAGTGAGAGGTTCTTGTATCTCTGGGATGAAAGCTGAGTTGGGTTTGGGTGGCCGCTGGTAGATCAGAAGTATTGTCAGGGCGAAGGGGGGTTTACATTTAAATGCAAGGCATTCAAAAGAGGACAATACAGGCAGGGGCAGGAGTGACAGTTCCAATTCCTTTCGGTAGATGACAGCTAGGCCTCCACCACGACCAGTGCTGCAGGCTTTCTCCAAGTAGCTGTAGCCAGGAGGGCAAGCTTCATTGAGGGTGGAGTAAACCTCTGGCTGATGCCAGGTTTCCGTGAGACACATGAAGTCCATTTTCTCATCAGTGATGTAGTAATGAAAAAGGATGCTTTATTACTGACGGATTGTGTATTCAGAAGTTCTATTTTGGCTTTGGAAGATGTGGTGAATCTCTGTAGGGGCCGGAGTAGGCTGTAATCCACTCCACGTTTTCCAGACTCCTTCGTGTGTGGCGGTCTCGCGATGCTCTCCATGTATTCATGCAGTGGTCTCGTGATGTTTCTGATTGGTTAGCTGGCTGGCTCTGTTTTGATTGGTCAAAACCCCAAAAAGCATTAAGGGGCTTCTTCAAAATGATACCAGAAACAAATCACAAAACCCAACCAGTAGAAAAGGGCCCAGAAGTCGACCCAGTGAAGAACCACAATATTAGCGGAGGGTTGGATTTCTACCTCTCGGTTGGACTTACTCTCATTAGCCAACTCAACACAGCTCTCATGTTAGAGTTGATTTGACATCTTTTTACACTCAAACAAATATGATTATGCAGCCTGAATAACGGCTTTGTAGCATAGTGAGGAAGAAGTAAAATGGCAAGACAGCCATGAGGCCTTGAGCAGTGTCTCTTTTGGATTCAGCAACTGTGACAGGAACTTAATTTACCCTAATTTTCACTGCAGATGTTAATATAACAGCTTCTTGAGGTCCCATAAATATTCCTGGGCTCCATAATCTGGAGAGCATGTAATGCAACAACAAAAGGCCTCTTGTTTACATCAGGCCCTTAATCTTTATAAAAATGTTTACCTTCTAAAACGCATTGATCACCACAACAAGATTAGATCTTACAATGTAACACTATCTGTGTCCTCTCAGGCCTATGATGGCTGCTGCTCCGTGTTTATAGTTTTACTTATAAAACAAAAGTGCACTTGATATCCAGCACCAATTGAACTTTAAGTTGAATCCAGGAGTGCGACAGTAGTTTAATTTAGCTTATGTAGCAGCCTTTCCAACACCTCACCCCCTTCTCTCTCTGTGCCCTTTTCGAAGCAGAGAGGCTCTTTGGACTACAGTGTCAATTAATGAACCTTGTTGTCTATGTTTATGAACATTAACATGCACACGTGGAAAAGGCCATGTGAGTTTTCAAGGTCCCACTTGGCACGTCACACCAAGATCGTTTCTGGAGGTGGGCGTGTTTGTTTTTCCACCGCTTCTTTTCTTGCCCCGCCTTTCAGTGGAAATGGTAATATCAAACAGTTAATTCCACTTTATGAGACTTTCACAGCTTTTTGAATGTTAAGCACTTTCTTATTGAATTGGATGTTTGCTAATATCTCACATGGCGCCGGGGATTGGCATGATTCACCCTCAGCTTCTCTCAGGGTAATTCTACCATGCAACACTCAGGGGAAGCAAATTTGCATCCATTGCATGACTAATTTAGCTGTTTGCTTTCACTGAGCTGGTGTACACAACATATATTTCTCTCCCCCTTTTCCTTTCCCCTTTCTCTCCCCATTTCCCTTTCTTTCTGTCCTCACCCCTCTCATTATGCATCTCTTCTGAGAACCTGTCAATGTGTTATTTCAACGTCATCCGTAACATCTACTAATTCAGACTGAAATACATTTTTTATTGGATTTATTTTTCTCATGGGTGCGAAGGAAACTAAAAAGGTTGTGGCAGTGTTGACTGAAATCAAGCGTTGAATATAACAGAGCAACACAGGGCACCTATGATGTGGTACATAAACATACACTGCCTGCACAGGACTGGAAACTATTACTCTGTTGTTTTATTACAAGGACTAACAAAGTAACAGTTGAGCTAAATATAGGCATTAATTTTGTCTTGTCTGGTGCTGTCAACAGTTAATTTTCATCAGCAATGTTTGAAAACACAGGAGTAAAAATGTATACCTTCAATTAAGATGTTACCTTAACTGCATAAAAGCTGAGCTTTTTACTTTAGAATGAACACTCTATAATTGTGTATGTGCTGTAAATGCCAGTTATTTATAAAATTAAAAAAATAACAATGACTTGTTTAAAAGGGATAATTTTTTTGCAATTAAGATAAAATGCCAGAGTGAAGAAGAACTTTGATGCTAAACTTTGATGCCACTACACATATGATGTTTGTCAATGTAAAACATTATTTTGTAAGTCCAGACATATAGTTTGTTGTTAAAATTTGATGTCCCGGGCAAAGTTTGGTTGTATATTTGTCCTAATTGCGTGTTATCGCAACAGTTTTACGAAAGACCCTTTCTTGACTTGTGTAATTCATGGTTCAATTGAAATTGGTTCAAAAATATATCTATCTATATTGTATGTATTTCTTTTTTGTTTACAAATAAGAGGCACATAGGAGTACAGCAATCGGGCAGGACTTTACCTTTGGGGATTCAGGACGTCACCTTTGGGGATGAAAGACTCCTCAGAGTTCTGAGGAAGCAGTTAGGCTGAGTTATTGACTGTTTTGTCATTAATATCACATTTTACAACCATTGTAGCTAGGTAGCTGACTGGCTAAGGGGAACTTTCTGCTGAACTTTGATTGGTCAACTGGTTCTCCTGGCTGAAAAAGCCATCAATGGATCCAACATAAGACGATTAAAGTCGGTGAGCAAATCTGGGATATGGGAGATGGTTCAGAGGTCTGGAAACACACTAATCTGCCAGTAGCAGAAGTGCCATTGCTATGGTTACCTGCAGTCGGAAATACCTGTGCAATGGTATAGGAAAGGGATTACACTGTTGGCTGGAGCTATGCTTGAGCCACCCAATATGGGATTGGACAGACATCTGACAACTAGTCTGTATGATGTGTTGTATACTTACATTTAAAAGTAGTTTTTTTTTTCCTTCATGGTTGTCCATATAAAAGACCAAGATGGTCCTCAGCTACAGCCAAACAGCAGTGCGAAGATAAAAAAAAGTCTTACCATTTAATGCAGGAACCTCATGACTCAGTTCATGAGTCTATAATGACTCCTAATTGGTGTAGAGGTTCTTTTATGGAGGGATCTGTAATCTGAAGACATGTTTATCGCCTTTTATTTTCATGAAAATGTTCTCTCTGTTAATTCAAGTTGATGTATCTGCTCCCCAAGACAATGCGCTAAGATACAGAGCTGCCGCTTCACCGGGACACGCACATCGTCACATTAGCAGGCGATCTCTGACCCCGGAGGATGATTGGTCCCACATGCTCTGCTGCTTGGGACATTCATTGCGTAGTTAAGTGTACTGCACAAAGCCCTGTATGTCAGAGCACAAAGCTAATATGTGTTTGTGAGAGAGAAAGTAGCAGCTACCAGTGGTATCTTAAAGAACCGGGGTCTGGGATTGGGGGGGATTTATTGGGATTTATATTATTTTTTATCATTTAATGAGTGTAAAATCACCTGTTGTGTTTTTCTTTAGCCTAGAATGAGCTAATATCTACTTGGGAGCTGAATTCCATCTCTCTACTTTAGCTCAGAAAGAAAGAACAAACACTGTCCCTAGATACGATCTCTTTCATTTTAGTGGCAGGGACTGAAAAATGAAGCCCATGCTGAAGTGCTTTAAACTTGCATTCTTGCAAGTAGGTGGGAATCCGCTGGTTGCAAAAGCTAGTCAGCTTGTATAGAAGTCAATGATAAAATGAGCCTACTTCTCCCTTGATTTATTATCTCTGTAAACATCCGTAATGGGTTTATGGTCTCATTTCAAGGTCTTCTTTAGTACAGCTTGTTGTTCATTTGGAAATTATGATTCCTCTCAGAATAAATCAGACCATAACGCAGGATATGCTTAAGGGTGCTTGAAAGGTCGCAACAACATTATGTGGTTTAGGTGATCACCTTGTTTCCTTCTTAGAACTGTTCCCTTTCAAGGTTAGTTTCAAGTCCGACAGGCTTTAAAGGAAAGGTAGTGGGGTATATGTTTGATAAATGTCCCTGAATCCATTTAGAGGGAAATGTGAGTGTATGTCTTCTTTTCTCTGCGGACCAAAGCTCATCGATGTTAATCAGGGCTTTTGCACTTTTCCCATTAACAAGTCAGGTGAGGGGTGATGTCAACACCCAGTCCTTAAGCGCCAGACGCTTCCAACACTCCCCCCACCCCCCATCCATCTACCCATCTATCGGTCGTAATGAGTACTCATCCTGGCCTCCACTGACGGCCCAGAAATTGGAGTCATGATTTTGAATTTATATGAGTGTTTAGGAGTGGTGGTTAGCCCAAATGCCACTGTTGCTGGTGGAGAATGGATTTATTAGGCTGATGGTTTTTCTGTGGTAATTTGTGAACAAGTTGGAGCTGGTTGGGGCGGATAACTGGATTTTGAGTGGGTGATTGGAAGTAATCCGTAATGTTGTGTAATTCTTATCAAGGAAGATAGAAAAAAAGGATCTCAGAGAAACAACCAAGCTATAAACATGAAAGAATCATAGCATTTACACTGAACTCAAAGCATTTACGCTTTTATGGAAATCTTGTTTTGCTTTTGATTTAATTATATGAGTCCTACATTTCCCAGCACAATCATTAAATTGTAATTTCAATCTGTTTTATGGGAAGGTCAACATTTGAAGTGTGATAAATTATTTTAAACATCACTCAAGCAAACTAAAACATGGTTTGGTTATACAAATAGTATGACTGTTTCAGTGTCCAACAACCTCTCGAATGTCATTATTACCATTGTTTATCAGTCAGGCCATCAAATAAAGGCTGTCCCTCTGATGTTTGAGTCGAGACAGATTACATCTGTTCCTGGTTCCATATTGTCCCTGAACCCTTCTTCTTTTTAAGCACCCTGTCACTTACTGCTTCAAAACTACCATTTAACCCATACAGCTGTGGGCCACACAGCTCTTATCGCCTCCAATGCTCTTGCTTTAATACTTGGATTAGATAGTATAAGGTTTGAGCTATGGTTTCATTTTGACTGAATTGAGAAAATACATTTTAATTTAATTAGATGCTGAGGAAAATACTGACCTTCTGGCGATACACGTGACGGAAAGAGAAGTAAGCTGGAACCTGATAAAACGTCATCACTTAAAATACAAATGTAGTGTATTTTTTCACGTGTACCTTTCATGTCCATAAACTGAATTTTAGAGTGGTATACAATTCAGTTAGTCTTCAAAGATGTACATTATCTATATACAATGGAGATATATCAACTCTATAGAACTCATAGAGAAAAAGGGAGGACGGAAGTATCTCCGAGCTTCTGTCATTTATTCCTTTTCTAATTTTCTTACTCTTGCTCTCAGTGGGAAAAGTGCAGTGGGAGACTTTTCTTCAACCCTATTAAAGGCAGCCATCTGACAAATGATGCCAATAAGATGTATAATAAACAATTGTGGCTGCTTTTTTTTAACAATAGCCACTTGCATGCCTTTCACTCGAGTTCCCATTTGTGATGCACTCAGGATTGTCAGGGTTGAGTGAAGCAGGCAGGACCCAAATGCAGATTTCACAGATAATACCTTTTTTTCAAGGATCCCTGGTTTCCCTCAGTAACAGGTTTGGACTGTCCAAACCTGTTACTGAGTTATTACCAGCGTTCATCATTCTAACCATCAAATGTAGGCTGTCTCTATGATCTTAAATGAACAGGTAACATCTGCTCCTGGCTCCATACTATCCCTGGCCCCTTCTTCTTTTCAGGCACCACTTACTGCTTCAAAACTACAACTTAACCCATACAGGTGTTGGGTTAACAGCTGTTATTTGCCTGTAAACAGGTACTAAAAAATATTTTGGAAAATATTATCTTATGCCAAGAACATTCCCTGATTTCAGAGCTTTCAGAGATTGTGGACATGAGTAATTGCTGACTTGTTATCCAAAGCCAAGCTATCAATTTAATACAGACTATTTTATGGAGCCACAGAATGTTTCTCGAGAAAATAAATGATCGCCAGGTGGTGGAGAAGGATGAGTTACAGTGCAGGTAATGGCATGAAAAAAGTTGCCTGAAGATATTGTGTTTTATTTTATTATTACGCTTTATAATGCTCAAACCTGAAACATAATATCATCTCTTCTAAAGAAAGTTGTGTGGACACCACATTTGTTCCATAAAAAAATGTAAATATTCATCAAAATTAATAGATTCACAACACAAAGTTTTAAAATCGAAAATGCTTAAACATCAATCTAACATAGCCTAATCCCATCTAACTGGAAAGCAGAGATGTTCTCTTCCATCTCCATGACAACACATCTCTCCTCTCTTTTACCGCCCTCAGATCGCAGGTGTTATATCCACAAGAACGTGTGTATATTGCGTTACATGACAATTTATTGTCCTCTGAAATTCACCTTGTGTCTGAAGCAAACTCGCATACAAGGACACAATACATCCAATGATATTAA